TCCAGCCTTTTCCCTAATATGTAGGTTTGGTTTTTCTCGGTCCCTCCCCCTGCCTAGTATGAGGGTCAAACCCATCCCCCCCAGCCTTTTTAAATTTTGACACAAGTCTGGTTCAGTCACTAAGGTAGGACTTGAATATGGGATCCTTCTGCCTCAGCTTTCCAAATGCTGGAAAGACAGGTGTGTGTCACAGCACCTGGCTGCAATATATAGGTTTTAAAGAAGAAATAATTGCAATTACATTTCATACACAATTTTTAACTTGGCTTGTGTGTGTGCGGTGTGGTGTTCTGGAGACCCAACCCATAGCCTTGTGTGTGCTGGGCAAGTGCCCTGTCCCTGAATTATGTACACCCCCCCAGAGCCTTAAATTATATTTTTAAGTCGGGTTAATAGGTTACAGGTATATGAACAGTTCCACAGCTTTTTTTTGTTTTGTTGTTTTGTTTTTTTTGCTGTTTCTTTGTTCCTCCAGAATCAAACCAAACTCTGGGCTCTATGCATGCTAGGCAAGTGCTCTACTACTGAGATTCAACCCCACCCATCCTGTATCCGGATAGCTTTTACATTACATAAAAATGTTTCCTTTATATATCATATTATCTAGTGAATATATTAGCATTTACTCAAGATTCTTGGTTTAAGTTTCCAAGTATGCATTTGCATTTTCCACTAGGTGCACTTGGATTCCCAATAATGATATATGGGAGTCCTCTCAGAGACAACTTCAGAATGATAAGTACAGTATTCTGATGGCCCTGGTGCTCTGTCATATGCTTTAAAAGTCAGAATTGGGCCGGGCATGGTGGCACATGCATGTAATCCCAGCACTCGGGAGGCTGAGGCAGGAGGATCACTGCTCAGCCTTTTTAAATTTTGACACAAGTCTGGTTCAGTCACTAAGGTAGGACTTGAATATGGGATCACTGTGAGTTTGAAACCAGCCTGGGCTACATTGTGAGTTCTAGGTCAGTCTCAACTACATAGTGAGACCCTGTCTCAAAAAACCAAAAAAAAAAAAAACAGAATTGTCAAAGGTGACCCTGCCTGAAGTTGCTGGTTACTTCTAGTTGGCAGATAGTAACATTGTACAGTCCTGCATTATCGAAGGGGAAATTCTGTAAAACCCATTTCTGTATGTGAAATGTCTTAAATATCAGCAGTTCATGTAGAAATTGATGATCTTTCCTTTGTGATACCATCAATGTTATGTAGTGACGAATAAAACTGGAACAGTTAGTGAACAGATTATTTGAGTAAGGAAAGGTGGCTCATCATTTCTTCCAAGGTTATGAGGAGGGTGGCAGTAGATAGCATTACAATGAAGTATTTACTTAGTGTTCACTGTTTTTACCATAACTAAAAATTGAATTAGTCATGAGTCGAGTTTAATTTGGGGATACAAGACAAATCTACCCTGATAACTTTTTTCAAGTGTCCAGTGTTAATTTGCCCACAGGGGAGTTTTGGATCAGCCCTGATACCCCTGTTGGGGAAGTTTGGTTTCCATGTCTTGTATCAAGAAGAGGAGCCTTTGGGCATTCTCCGTTTCTCTTTCTTTGCACATTCGGTCCATTTTAATGGTTTTAACCAACAGTGGGAAACATTTCATAGCCAAATAACCACGTTTGTTAGAAATATACTTAAGAATCATTGGTCTCTACTGTGGATAAAGTATATGTATGGTCTTGGGAGAAACACCCCTTTGTCACCCAGTGGCTTTGTGTGCAGTGTTCTGGTTAGAGGTCATACAGCAGATGAGGAGCATTGCTCCCACACAGTGTAGACTTTAAAGAGAAATGAAGCTTAAGAGGCTTAAGGAGCTTGTGCCAGGTTATATACAGCGTAAGAGCAAGGGACTAAACCCCAGGGCCGGAGCGCTTTCCACAGCACATGTTTTATGAACATTTTACTTTTATCTTGGAAAAGTGTACAGTGGTCTGCTCAGTATTAATTACGGAGATAGTCTCTCTGCCAATGACTGTGGCTAACGTGATGAGTAAGATACTTTTCCCGCCCTAAAGAGAAATGTAGTGAAAACGTATATACCATCTGTGAAAATACTAAAATGTAGATACGTAAGTCTTAATACTGTACTCTACTTACGTGGAAAGGACTTTAGATAGGAAGTCCCTGGAGACTTGTTTAGTTTTAAAGTGTGTAGTGCTAAGTCAGCAACTGTAGGCCATTCAGTTTCTGCGTCTGAGCAAATATCTGGAACATCTGGGACAAGATTCTTTCAGTGAAATGTAGGAATTTGGAGCTCTTCTAGTAATGACACACGTGTACATGTACCTCAGTACTCTGCAGATGTGTTTGCACATCATTTAGGTTGGTGCTGTGCTCCCGTAAAGGCAGGTTATCCCATTTTCCAGATGAAACCGTGACTTGGAAGACAAGGGGACTTGCCACAGTTTACAGCGCTGGGTCCTGTGTTCAGATTCAGGATTTGGGTGCATAGGATGTAAGAATGGACTGGGAAGGCCATAGTTATCAGTACTATTTCATGTCAGGTGGTGGCTGTGATGCAAGAAATGATAGAATTTACTCTTAAAGCAGGTTTGAAAATAATGCTTTCATTACCATTTGGGATAGTTAAGTCTTAATTCTGGAGAGGGAAAAACAACTTTGTCCAGAGGACCTATACTAGAGTATTATTAAATATATTATATATAATGAATCATATACACATGCATATCAGTCACCTTCTATACATATATATTTTTAAGGCACTATGCAGGGTTGATAGTCTTGTACAATGTCTGAATTTTTACTTTTCTTGATTGAACGCAAAGTAGAAACATATATTAGTCACAAAATAAAAGATTGCTCCAGATCATCTCTTAACATCCTGTCTAGGTGTAACATTCTATGGGGTTAAGTTCTTATTTTTATAATAGTTTGTATAATGCTTCTTAATTTGATTCTTGCATTCTTAGTTTTTTGAATGCTATGTAAAATGTGTGTGTGTTGAGGGGGGTTACTTAATCCTTTAAAGGCTTGGGAGACACATGACTTGTACAGCAGGAAATTTAACTTTTTGTGTTTGGAATTTATAAGCATTTGTCTATAGAAATAACCCTCTGGTCCTTGGGTTCCTAAACTGTGAACCAGAAAGCTCAATTATGTGATGGATAAATAAACGAGGTTTTGGGAATGACATAGGCAGAGCCAGCCATCATTTATGAAATTGCTTCTTTGGAAAACATGCTTTCTTCTGTAAGACTGGGGCTTTGTTTCAGGTCTGTCAGACTCCTTCTCATACTTAAAAAAGACACTTAAGGTCACTTACTGAGGAGAACATTTTCATTTCAAAGGTAGAGGATTTTGTACCACTTAGTCAACATTGTCTAACAATAGAATAGGGACAAGAGCTTGATTTTTCTGCAGCCTCCAGAGATGTTCTGAATGGAGCCGTTTGGTCTGCTCAGGAATAAGTGCTAGTTTTTCGCTAAAGCAAAGTTGCTCATTTTCTTGTGGTGGGAAGAGTCTACCTATAATTTCACTCAGGTTTAAGATTTTATGTTTATTAAAAGAGGGATGTTCAGTCATCAACTTAAGGAGAAGGGAGACAAGTTCTTTACCTCTCTAGTCCCAAAGGGACTGTTGTGTTCCATTGTAGGCTTATGTGTGTGTGTGTGAACTAAAGCTCAGAGAAGCTGTGCATTCCCCAAGTTGTTCAGCTCATCAAAGTTTTGAGCCAAGATTCAGTTCTAGTTCTTTGCTTGTCAGACACAGTCAACTTTGGGGCAGCCAGAACTGTATATTCCCAGTGGAGGTAGAGACAGGAAAAACTGCAGTGTAAGGTTTTACTACTAAAATGAAAACTTCTACAGTTCTCAAAATAACTTTACACTTACTCTTTCGTGGTGGAGCCTTTGTAGATAAAATGCAGTATTAATAATTGAACATGTTGGTGTCCACTTTGTTTCCCTGCTTGTAGAACAGAGAATTTGACTTTTTGCGTGAAATTTTAGGCTATTTTTTTTATTTAAAATTTATCTTAAAATGCCTATTTTATTTCAGTAGCCAATGACCATCAAGCAAGCAAAGAAAAGAAAAAAGACATGTTTTTCATTAAAAAGGACAGATCTATGAAATGGTTTATAGGAAGTGAAGAATAAGATGGTTCAATTAAAGCAACTTGGAATCATTAGCTACGAAATTAAAATGCAAGACAAGTGTCCAAATGGAACACTTAAGCAATTTTGCAATATTACACAGTTTTCTTTAGCTTTTGTTATTTTTCAAACTTTTATGTAAAACTTACACAACCAGAGTGATAGCTAAAAAGTATCAATCTATGAAAGTAGTGATTAGCAGTATAAAGTTCTCATTTGATACTTTTTTGTCTTCAAATCCATTGCTGTCATCTGAGATACTTGGTTATTGTGGTTTGACCTTCCTTAACTTGGAAAGCTGTATGATCAGTTTGCCAGTGGACAGGTCTTGTAATATAGGGAAAGGATCCATATGGAAAATCAGACTGTGATTCTTCTTCATCTTCACTTTCCTTTTCAGGATGTAATTGTGGATCTGTGTTGATTTTAGGTTCTGCTTTTTGAGGTAAAATTCCAATTCTGTGTTTTGCACAGCAAACCAACCAGTCACTCACAATGAGTTCAATGAGAGCAAGTTCACAGATGTGAATTCCATCTAAAAGTTCAATAACCTGTGTGATGTTTGCTAGATATACAACACATGCACCACCGTGTTTAAGACGTGGGTATAAAGCAGGCATTGCAACTAGAGGATTTAACATATCCAAAGGTACCACATCAAATGCTAAAGATTGTATGTCTTCAGCTGCTCCCAAAATATCCTTGTCAATGAAATTCACATTATCTGGACATTCTTCTACATGACTTAATTTCCATGAATCGTGCCAGTGTTTGTAAATTCTTCTTAGCCAGATCATGATGGTCCTTTCGTATTTCAAAACTTATGACTTGGCCTTGTGATCCAACTGCTTTGGATAAACGCTCTTTCCACCAGAGCCAGAGCCTGCATCTAAAACAGTATCGCCTGGGTTGATACCTGTCCTCATCGGTACCGTGTTCATGTCCTTTGGGGATGTGTTGGCAGTCCCTCTTTTCATCAGTAACACATAGTCTTCCAGTGCTGTCCTCTGCAGCATGAAATGCTTACCAAGGGAACTTGTCAGTACCTGGCCGGGGAACTTTCCCACGATCTTGTGAACAGGACTAACCCCCACATATTATTTAAGTGTCTGATGTTGCTCAACCTAAATAATTTTTTTAAGTGAGTTTCTCCCTCCCCAGTCTCAGCTAAAATCAGCTCTCTGGCCTGAAAGGATCCCTTTCTGAAAGTTGGGCAAGAAGCGGGAGACGCCTGAGCCAGGGTGGGCAGTGGGGAAACCCACTTTCCCACTGCAGGGGATTGGGCTGGCTCTGCTCTGCCCTGGAGTCCCCAGGATCCTAAGATCCCGAGGGGCTGACCCCTCCCACCATGTCTGCAGTCTGAGGCTTTCCAGCGATGACAGACATCAGACCCCAAAATCCTGGTCGTGCCAAAGGAGAGATGGGGATTACTCCATCCGGAGACTTCCCTTTGCACCGTCTGGCGCTCTGGCTCTCCATCTTCTGTGTCTCTAGGTGAGGACTCATAACACGGTGACCTGGCTTCCTCAAAAAACTGCAGCCCAAAGGGGTGCAGAAATGAATTTAGATTAATTTTTAAAGATACTTTTGATGAGTGAAATAATTGTAAAGTGTTGTCCTTCCCAGTAACTGGGAGAGGGGTGCAGTTTGGAGAGGAGGAGGAAAAATACCAGTGGAACCATAATTTGCATCAGTCTTAAGTTGCATGAAGCCACTTACAATACACAAAGAATTGTAGCATTTTGGAAGATTCACAGCATGTCTAGACTCAGACCTTTATTTCTGGGCTACCTAACTGCTTGTTTTTGTGGAGCAAGAGGTAAAGACATCTAGAAAGTATGCAGTGGTCATTTGGTTTAAATAACTTGCTGCTTTTTACCCTGTATAATTCTTCAACAAATAATGTCACCCAATAAATAATGAAATCTGATATAAAGTCATTTTTATAAGGTTAAAGTATGAAAATTGTTTTAAATGTGTCTGTCATGAATGGTAATTTGGACATGAGATTGTATTTGTATTGGAGCCAGTGCACACCGATACCACAATCCAGCTCTAATAATTATTTATCCAGGAAGCAAGATTGATGTTGGTTTAGGTAGATGGACTAGGACAGTTGTGAAACTCTTAAGGAGCCTTTGTTGATATTTTAGACTCAGTAACAACCTATTTAAGGTTTAATTTTCCATTCAGGCCTGATGGCTGGTTCTATACAGAATTGGAAAAAAACATCACCACATTTGGATCAAAATTGGTTTGCTCCAAGCAGGAAAATGTGGGCTCATCTGGTAAGAAGCAGCACTCTGATGCCAGTAGAGCAGTTGCATTCTGTCTGAATTCTGCTAGGGCTGTGCCCGACCTTTATAGGGGAACAAAATTGTGCAGAGTTCTATCCTCTTCTTAGCTTCTGACAGTAACAAGTTCATGACGGGGCTGTACATGTATGATTGTCCCACTGGGTGGCTTAATACCACCTAATGTGACTGTCCCATGCCGCCCAAAGTAACGGTCATGCATATGCCCCCAGTGGTGTTGAGCCAGTTGAACATGATTCCGCAGGTATTTACTGAGTGTCTTTGCAGGAGCCTCCATTGTGCCAAGTACCTGAAACATGTGCCCCAGTCCCCTGCACCATCAGTAGTATCAGCAGACAAGCCCGACAATTGGCTCATCTTACTGACTAGGGAGTAATACAAATTCAGTAGAATCCACTTGTTTTGAGCATTCATTGATACTTAATATTTTTAACAGAGTTGCATCGTCATGGTCACAGTGTAATATTAGAGCATTTCTGTCATCCCAGAAGAAAACCTTTGGTTATCTTCATTACTCCTCCTTCCCACCCCTGGCTCTCAGCAATTACTAATGTTCTTCCTGTCTTTATAGTGCTTTTTGTATTGTTTCCTTTTTCTGGGCTGTTTGTTTGTTTGTCTTCTGAGACAGGGTCTTTCTATGCAGTGCAGGCTGATCTTGAACTCACTGTGTAGTCCAGGCCGGCCTCAAACTAATTCTCCTACCACAGCCTCCTGAGTGCTGGAATTACAAGCATGCACCACCACACCTGGCTTTCTGGAGATTTTATTTAAATGGAATCGTATAAGATGAGGTCTTTTGTGTTTAGTTTCTTTCCTAATTTTGAGGTTCATCTGTAACATGTACTTCATATCCCTTTGTGCCACTACGTGTTTATCCGTTTAGCAATTGGTGGATATTTGGATTATTTCTGCACTTTAGCTTTTGTGAATAATCTGTTATGAACATCCTTGTACAACTTTTTGTGTGCACATGTTTCTGTTTCTGTTGGGTGGATGCCTAGGAGGGGGTTGTTGGGTTGTATGGTAAGTTTATATTAAAGTCGTAAGAAACTGCCTCGATGCCGTCTTTCAGAGTAGCCATGCCGTGTCACGCTTCTACATTCTGATAGCTTGTTATTGTGTGTAGTTTTCATGATAACTATTCCAGTGAATATGAAGTATCTCGTTGTGATTTTGATTTGTGTTTCCCTAATAACTGAAGATATTAAGAATTTTTTTGATGCATACAGTCCATTCATATATCTTTTTTGTTTGGTTGGGTTTTTTTGTTTTGCTTTTTGGTCCCGGGGATCAAACTCAGGACTTTGCTTTTGCAAAGCAGGCAGCAGAACCATTGAGCTAAATCCCTGGCCTCATATCTTTTTGATGGAACATCTATTCAGTGTTCTTATTAATTATAAGAGTTCTTTATATATTCTTACAGATCCCTTATGGATGATATATAATTTTCAAATATTTTATTCCAATTCTGTGGCTTGTCAATTTCTTGATGTCTCTTGAAATGCAAAAGTTTTAAATTTTGATAAAGTCCAACTTATCAGTGTTTTCTTTTTTCTGTGATCTCTTGATTGTCTATTGCCCAGTGATGATTTTACCTTTTTTTTTAGACAGGGTCTCACTATGTAGTCCTGGCTGGCCTGGAACTCATGGCTATCCTCCTGCCTCAGCTTCCTGAGTGCTGGTGTAACAGGTGTGTGTCACCATGCCTGGCTTGATTTTACCTTTCTTGAAGGCCTTTTGAATGGTAGGACTTTGGATTTGTTAGCTTTATGGACATTATCCAGTGGGCCAAACTTATTTTCATTGTTTGAATACAGAGGTTACAGAACAAATTCATTAAACTTACTCTGTTTTATAAATTCATCTTGGACATGTTTGTCATTTCTTGTTCCCCCTCCTCCTCCTGTTGTCACTATCGTCGTCCTCCTTGTCATGCCTTTCCTCCCCCTCCTCTTCTTCCTCCTTTTTTAGTACTGGGATTGAACCCAAGGCCTTCACACTGACCTACATCGCCAACCTGTTTTTTATTTTTTATTTTGAATCAGAGTCTCACTAAGTTGCCCAGTCTAGGCTTGAACTTGGGATCCTCCTGCCTTGGGATCCTCCTGTCTCGGCCTCCCAGAGTGCTGGGATTACAGGCGTGCACCACCATGCCTGGCTCATATGTCTTCTTTCAGAGTAAATTAGCATCTGCCGCGGATAGATATTATTGTTATCCTAAGAATACATATTTTCATCTTATAGTTGTCCTGTTTAGGTTTTACTTTTTCTTTTTCTGGAAAACTTAACATTCATGGTTTATTTTCAAAGCAAGTAAGGTTAATTGCCAAATAATTTTTATAGTTAATAGTCAGAAAACGCATGAGTCATAGATTTTTATCAGAAAAAGATTTTTATCAGATGCAGGTGGAGACATTTGTGCTGGGATGGGACATTATGGTGCCAGTTATAATGACTGGTTTCAGTTCTGTAAGAAAAAATGAAATCAACTTTCTATTCTAGAATTTTTTGTTTCATGAAGACGAAGCTTAGTCGATTTCATAAGGTTTCTTTCCTTAGATCAGGGCTTCACAGCTTCTGTGCTGTTGATAATTTGGGGCAGCTCCCCTTTGATCTTTGGGTGTCCTGTAATCGTGGGGTGTTCAGCAGGACCTGTGAACAACTCTCCCAGATGCCAGGAGCATCTCCCTGCTTGTGACAATGAGCGGAAGTCTCTAAATGCTAACATATGTCTTCGTGGGGGGCAAAATGACACCCCCCCAAGAGAATCCTGCTTTAGATGTATATGTACTGTATGTAGAACACAAGTTAAAAATTAGCATTTTAGAATTTGTATTAGTACGTGTTTACAGTACATGATTACATTCATTGTGGGGCGTTGGTCCATGTACATAACTCATCTTAATTCTTTTTTCATCTCCTTCCCCTCTCCCTTCCTCTCTTGGTCCTCTTCCCACTTGCAAAAGATCTAGCTCCCTCTTTCCTATTACCTATCTTTTATTTGGTTCCTTATTTATATGTTGGATTTCTCATACATGGGAAATGATGTGATATATAAGTGCGTGTATCTGAATTATTGTACTTTAATGTTATCGTCTCAAGGTCCATCCATTTTTCAACAAATGACTCAAGTTATCCTTTGTGGCAGAGTAGTACTCCATTCGATGTAAATGCTGCATTTTCTTTATCCGTTTATCTGTTGATGGGCATACAGGCTGCTTCCAAGATTTAGGTATTATGAATTGAGCTACTATAAACATGAATATGCATGTATCACTGTAATGAGATGTCTTTAACTTTTTCTGGCAAGATACCTAGGAAGGGAAGAGCTGGATTGAATGCAATTTCTATTTTTAGATTTTTGCTGCATTTGCATACTGATTTCCATAGTGGTTTTACTAGTTTACATTCCTATCAACAATGTTAGAACCCACCCCATCCCCTAGCCTTGCTAGCATTTGTTATTATTTCATTTCTTGATGATAGCCATTCTTTCTGGAGTAAGACGGAACCTCCATGTTGTTTTAATTTACATTTTTCTAATGGCCAGAGATGTTGCATATTTTTTATGTACAGTATTTATTGGCCATTTGTACTTCTATGAAGTGTCTGTTTATTTCAGTTGCTCATTTTTTGTTGGAGCTTTTATTTGGGGGGGTCTAATTTTTGTTTTTAGTTTTTTATATATTCTAGATATTAGTCCTCAGTCTGGGAAATAGTTGGCAAGATTTTTTTCCATTCTGTAGATTTTCTTGTCAATCTGTTGTTGTGTCTTTTGCTGTGTAGAAGTTTTTTAAATTTGATATGCTTTCATTTATTCTTGATGTTATTTCTTTTATTTTCTTTTTGATGCCGGAGATCAAACTCAGGACCTTGTGCTTGCGAAGCAGGTGGCAGAACCACTGAACTAAATCCCTGGTCCATTGATGTTATTTCTTGTGCAGTAGGAGTTCTGTTCAGGAATTCTTGACTATGCCTGTGTCTTTCGAGAATTTTGTCTATTTTATCTTCTGGCAGATTGCGTTTTAATATGTAGGCCTGTGATCCATTTTGATTTTAGTTTAGTATGTGGTGAGAGCTTTGGGTCTAGTTTTAACGTTCTGTATGTAGACAGCCAGTTTCCCAGCCCCATTTGTTAATGAGGCTGTCTTTCCTTGAGCTTATGTTTTCAGTCCCTGTGTCACAGATCAGATGGCTGCATGTGCCTGGGCTTTCTGCATTCTCTGTTTTGTTCATTGATCCATATTTCTGTTATTGTTTCAGTACCATGCTATTTTTATCACTGTAGCTTTGTTATATAACTTGAAGCCCAGGATTGTGTTGCTTCCTCCTCTGCTCTTGCTATTCAGGATTGCTTTTGCTATTCTGGGTCTTTTCTGATTTCATATGAGTTTAGGATTGTAGAACACAATTTTGAATCATGCTAAAATGGAATTCAGTAGTCTTCTTTCCCCCAAAATAGGGGTGGGGATTATCCAAGAGCTGTGTCACTAGGACAAATAGAGTGGTCTTTGCATGCAGCCTGTAAAACTTAAGGAGCTAGAGGTTTCTGCTTGGCCCTCATTAAAAACATACACACATCCACACAAACTGTATTTTCTCTTCCATTCCTGCCCTTTTTTTAAAAAAGCAAAGTTTCACTTTTATTAAAGGTTTTAATGGTAGGAAGAGAAATATGCTTTGCAGAGTAATTGTGGTCCAGGTAGACTAGGTAAAGAAGTAGACTACAGGGTGAGAGCAGCCACTGTGAAAGAGAGCACAGTAGCACGATGGTGACTCTCTTTTGTGTTCCCCAGTCCTCAAGCTGGTGTCAGATCTAGGCTGTCCAATGAAAAACCTGCTTGATTTCTTGTGAGAAGTGAAGATAGCACTTTCTGATTGGTCCCAAGTGCGGGGCTTAGTCATGTGTCCTGGATCTGTGATTGAGAAGTCATATTTTGCATAATTGCTTTGCCATGCCCTAATTGCCTGCCTCACCACCCCCCAAATCCCCATAATGTGTTATTGGGTGCTAAGAGTGCAGGGGTCTCTGTCTTCATATGGCTACTTCCAGCTGATGGGGGCCATAGGCCCTACTTCCTGGGGATTATGTGCTCTCCAACCACATTGAGATGTGTGGCTCACTGGCTGGGTAGTAGAGGAAAAACAAGAACCTGTCAGAAGGGAATGAGAAAGGAGCCAGTGCCATGTGCAGAACTGTTGAACTGAGGGCTCAGTGGGAGAAAGGTTGGTGAATTTGTCAGGAGAGTCATGGGCTGTGGTCTTGATCACCATCTGAAGCCTTGACTGGATAAACTGTACTACTAAGTTGGGTGGGCAGATCCCAAATATGAGAAGGAGCAGGTCAGAATATTTCCTAGCCTGTCAAAGGAGTATACTATAACAGATCTTGCAATTGGAGGATAAAGTATGAGAAAGAGGGCTATAAGATAGACCACTAAGCCCGAGAGACAGCCCTAGCAAGATTACCTGCATCATGGATCTAATTGAAAACAGGAGTCCCAATCCAGTGCCCATGTAAGTGGTGTGGATTGGGGTTCATTAGTGACTGCTTGTCTGCCCTTGAAGTGGTCCTGGAGTCTTGTTTTTCAGAGAGGAGACTCAAGTCTACTAAGGTCCACAGGGATAGCTTCTTTTGGGTGGGCTTTTGCCTCAGTCTCCTGCCAGCTTCTTTATATTCTTGTTTGCATGTTTGCCTTTCATTGTGTTGTGAGGTCTTCTTAAGTCAGACAAAGACACACAAACACAGTTTCTGCTTTTTGGAGACAAGGTCTGGGTATGTAGCCTGGTGGCCTTGAACTCATGATCTCCTGCCTCAGCCTCCTAAGTGCTGGGATCAAGGGCGTACACCACCACACCCCATCAACCCACCCAGTTATTGTACCTGAAGCTGTGTGGACCAGTTCCAGATGACTGCTGGGAGAAAATGAAATTTGAGGAAAAGGAGGATTGGATTGGATTTCCTCTGCTTTCAACTTTAAGAGCTTTTCCACTGTGGCCTAATAGTCAGCGAGGATTTGGAGTCTGAATGTAGAGCATGACCAAGGAGAAGGGGTGTGCAGAGAGAGGTAAAGAGGCGGTGTTGGCAGAGCCGAGTCAGTCTCTGTGTTGTTGATAAAGTGGCTGCTGCTTTCCATCTTCCCTGGGTGCTTTAACGCAGCCTGGGCACTGGCCTGTTGTGTAGAAGCAGATGCCACAGGTAGGCGCCCCAGTGGGGTGCAGTACAGCTGCTCACCGAGCCCAGGGAGGAGTTTTCTGACATTTGTGTGTGTAGAACCCCAGCTCTACCGCTGCAGTTTTAGCCTTTCAATGCCACGGGGGCAGCCAGGGCCTTGACATGGCAGCACTGTGGTTGGCTCTCAGCATATGGAGAGTCATCTGTTAGTTAATGACTGCCACAGGTACACAGGTACGTGACAGGGCAGGACCCCCTTATGACATTCTCGTGAAATTATGGCCAGGAATTGTAACTGGTTGCAGCAGTATGGACACATTATGGTTTTTAAAGGCCCTTACCTTGCTGTTTAATGAAAACCCTGGCTTTGGTGTTTTGCCCAAGTTACATTTTACTCAGCTCTTGTCTTTGTCTTTTATAACAGCTACTTTCCCCTTTAGCTGACATCAGACTCTGCTGCCTCCTGTAATTTTCCTGATTGCTTTCTCTTCTGTCTCAGTGTGTGCCTTAACATT